CTGGAGCACGGGCGGAGCCCCTCGAGATCCGACACTGGCGATCAGAGGGCAACCTCGCCACGCATCACCACCGGAGCCCTGGACATCGAGGCCTCCTAGATGGGGTCCGAGCAGGTGGGGTCCGAGAAGGTGGGGGCGGGAGGAGGAGGAGGAGGAGGAGGAGGAGGAGGAGGAGGAGGAGGAGGAGGAGGGGGAGGGAGGAGGAGGAGGGAGGGAGGAGGAGGGAGGAGGAGGAGGAGGGAGAAGCCCCATGGCTTTACGGCGCTTGGAATGGAACACCTCGCGTCCCGCCACCCATCTAGAGGCCTCCTAGATGGGGTCCGAGCAGGTGGGGTCGGAGGATCGCGCCGCATCGCCACGCATCGGCGATGCATCGGCGACGTCGGCGATGCATCGGCGGCGTCGGGCTCCACATCGAGCCGCATCGCCGATGCATCGGCGATGCGGCGTGATCCTCCGACCCCATCTGCTCGGACCTCATCTAGGAGGCATAGAACTGAAATTTTCCCCGACGCCCCCCCCACACCAGGAATGGAGGGCAAATTGGGGCCTTCGGGTTGTGTTGGAGTGGTTTGGTGGGTGGTGTTAGGTCGGGCAAGTCCTCCTGCAGGCGGATGTGCGAAGCACAAGTCGCTGGCCCAACGGGCCAGAGGACCCCATCTGCTGCACTCGGCGGAAGCGGGATCGAGCTGTCAGATCCCTGGGGCCCGAAACCTGGCGACCACGCCCGACCCGAAAGAGCTGGGACGCCGGGATCTCAGGGCGCACGACCGAGACGACGGCGGCCCCCAGGGACCCCGTCGCCACGACTGCTTCACGGGGCCGGCCCCCTATGGAGGTACGCCGATCCCCCTTCCCGGGACCGGCTTCTCATCCCGACAGTCGTTCGCTGGCGGTCCTGAAACCCCGGGGAGGGCCCCTCGAGGCGGGGGAGTGGCGGAGAACCTCCCACGATGATCTGTTCGTGGCCCGAGGGGGTCTGGGACCGATGGCTGCGGCTGGCGACCCGCGCCAGCGGCTGGCGAACGGCGCCGGCGGCTGCGACCCGCGCGGCCGCGACGGGCGACGGCGAAGGCGGCGACCGAGGGCGGCGAGGGGCGGGACCCAGAGACGCCCAAACATCGCACGACCCAAGATGGAGAAGGCCACAGAAGTGCCCAAAACAGGCCAAGGGGCCTCCTAAGAGGGCTAAACAGAAATCATTGATGTTCCTTCTATTTGAGAGAACGCGTTTCGTGGACGCTTGCCAGTCCAAAGGGGGGCGTTCGAATCCTGGTGGGAGGTGCCCCGCTGGGTTGCAAGGGGGGGGAGTCGAACCAAGGGGGGGGGGCCTGTCCAAAAGGGGTGTCGAACGGGGGGGGTGGGCCCTGAGGTGCAGGGGGGGGTCGAACTGGGGGGGGGGGTAGTTTCAGGTATAGGGTTTAGGGTTTAGGGCGTCTCCCCACCCCTGGCCGAAAGGCCAGCGACCTCCCAAACTCAAGCCTGTTAGGGTTTAGGAGAGCCCCTAACTCCCACACACACACACACACCGAACGCCGAGATGTGCCGCAAGTGTCTGCAGAAGGTTCCAGGGGCCCGCAGAATGTTCCAGGGGTCTACAGAAGGTACCAGGGGCCCAGATCAGGTTCCAGGGGCCCGGATCAGACTCCAGGGGTCTGCAGGACGTTCGTGAGGTCAGCAGAAGGTTACAGGGGTCTGCAAAAGAGGCTCCGAAGTTGGCCGGTTTAGGGTGTTATGTTGATTTCGAAGAGCAGGATAAAGGTAATCGTTGAGTTGCCACTCCCCGAAGGGGGGGCGGTCTACAGCTGCAAGGGCGACCCACTCTGGCAACCAGCAAGCGAGTAGTCTAGATGGCATGTCCGTCGTGGAAGGATGTGCGGCGGGTGGGGAAATGGTGCACGCCGACGTGTGTCGGAAGATGATGCACGCCGACGTCTGGGGGCCCATGTCGGCCGTTCCGGGTCTCTCTCGGCATGTCATGGGGAGCTGAGCCCGTCTTGGGGCCCGTCTTGGGGCCCTCTCCGACCATGTATGGATCCTCCAGTGGCCCCCTCGGGGCCCCTGGGTACTCTCTTGGGCCGTCTTGGAGCTCTCCTTGTGGTGATCGAAGCTCTCTTCAGGCCGTTTTGGGGGCCCTCATGGGGTCCTGTCTTGGGCCGTCTGGGGCCCACTTTGGGAGCCTCTGGGACCGTCGCGGCCTGTGCTAGGACTGACAAGCGAACATCCCAGACCATCTGTTTTCCATTGAAAATGCTTCATGTTTGCCCTTGGGGGGCATTCATTCCTGGCGGCCTTGGACCGTCTTGAGTTCCCTTGTTAGAGGAAAGAGAACTATGCACATACATCGATTCTGGCCAGGCCCATCCTGAGCCCAGGATCGGTGCATATGCCCTCCGACCTTGTCCAGGAAGGTATATACACCGATCCTTGGTCAAGGATGGGCCTTGCCAGGATCGGTGCATGTGCATAGTTCTCTTCGCCCGATGTTGACCGTCTTGAGTGCCTTTGTGGCCGTCTAGGAACAATATTGCGCTGACTTCGAGCGCTCGTGGCCCGGCCGCAGGCCCTCCCAGTGCGCTCTTCGGCCATCCTCCGGACAACCATGGGGTGCTTTGGGAGCCTCCTTGGGCCAGCTTTTGGGGGCCCCTGGGGGGGCTTGGCCCCCGTGGAGCCCTCGAGGCCCCCCCCCCGGACCGCCAGGCACACCAGTGGTACCGGTTCCGGGCCTTCCCCCGGTCTACTCCGAGGTATATATATATATATATACACATGTACACATACATACATACGTACATAAATACAAACATACATTACATTACATTACATTACATTACCTTACATTACATTACATTACATGACATGACATGACATGACATTACATTACATTGCATCACATTACATTACACTACACTACATTACAGCACATTGCACTACATTACACTACATTACATTACATTACACTCCACTACATTAAATCACATTACACCACATTACACTAACACTATATTACATTACATTACATTACACTACACTACACTACACAACACTACACTACATTACATTACACTACCTTACATTACACTAAAGTACATTACATTGCACTGCATTACATGAAGTTACATTACATTACATTACATTACATTACATTACACTACATTACATTACACTACATTACATTAACACTACAGTACATTACACTACATTACATTACACTACATGACCTTACAATACATTACAACGCATTACATTACATTACATTACATTACATATCATTACATTACATTACATTACATTACATTACATTACATTACATTACACTACATTACATTACATGACATTACGTCCAATACATACATACATACATACATACATACATACGTACGTACGTACGTACATACGTACATACATACATACATACATACATACATACACTAGGACAATCGCGCGCTTCGCGAGCGCTCAAGTTCTAGCTAGGCTTGATCGGCCAGCTCATGTAATCTCATGTTGGTCGCTTCTTGCGTCCAGGGACTCCCTTGAAGGCAATGCGCAAGCCTCGGAATCGTATAGAAGGGGAAGTGCGGAAACGCAGAAATCATTAATTTCCTGTAGGTATTCAACGATGCGGGGCCTTCTTCCTGCTTTTTTGGAGGGAGGTGAGGGGGTCTGAATTGTGCTCTCTTGTGCAAGAGTAGACCGGGGGCCAAACTTGTAAAAAAGAAAAGGAATTGTGGGATCTCCATTATTTCCAGTTCCTCGGCGCTGTTCGACGCTGTCTTTTGTTTGTGCCTCGCGGGTTTTGTTAGCCGGGCCCTTCAGGGGTGTGGGATCTTCCGGACCCCCTGGAAGTTCTGGAGGCCTCCTGCAGCCTGGAGGGCCGTCGGAAGGGTGTCTCGGGCTGCGAAGGAGCGTGTTGGGCCGTTCTTGACGTTCTGGGGGCTGGGCTGTCCTTGGGCGTCTTGGGGGCCCCCCAGGAAGCCCGGAGGCGCAGTACCGGCCAGATGTCAGGGGATGTGTGGGATCTCCGAGTCGGAGTCCCACTTTGGAAAAAAGGGGAACTCTGGGAATTTCCTTTTTCCGCTAAAAGATCCTCGATCTTCGAGGGTTGGAAGCAGGAAAACGTGAGAGGGCGAAAAACACTAGAAAGACCATGGGAAATCAACGATTTGACTCTCTTTGGGCTCTCTCGGGACGACTCTCGCAGCTCTCTTGGGCTGTTCTTGAAGCCTCGTCGGTGTCTTTTTGGGGCCTCTCAGGGATCGGGGGTGTGTTGGGAGCCTCTGGCGGCTTCCGGAGGCCTCTCCGAGGTCTCTGGGAGCTTCCTGCTCCCGCTCTTGGGCCCATTTTGGGCCTGTTCTGGGGTGGTCTGGGGCTGTCCTGGGCGCCTCTTCGGCAGTCTTGGAGCCTTCTTGGCTCGTCTTGGGGCCGTCCTGAGGGTCTCTTGGGTGGTCTTGGGACGGTGGTGGGAGCCTCTTCGGCGCTCTTGGAACATTGGAAGCTCGAGAACGCGAGACGCCAAAACCATTTAATGAAAATCAGCAATTTTGGCCTCTTCGGGCCGTCCCGGGACGCCTCTCGGACCTCTCTTGGGGTCTCTTGAGGCCACCTGGGAGCCTCGAGAGCCGTCGGAAGGCTGACTTGGGCAGCTTGGGAGCGTCTTGGACCATCCTTTCGCATTGTGGGAGGCGTCTTGGGCACTCCTGGGGCGCTGTGGAGGCTCCCTGCAAAGGCCTCTTGGGCTCCTGGGGGGCGTTCTTGTGCGGTTTGGGCGTCTTGTGGGCCGTCTTGGCCCCCTCGTGGGCCGTCTCGGAGCCCTCTTGGGGGCATCCTCGACCGTCTTGGGTGCCTGTTGGGCCGTCTTGGACGCAGTGGAAGCCCAAAAGGCGAACACGCCAAAAATATCAGTTCCCCTATAGGGAATCAACGATGTTTGCTTATTGGAGGCTTTATTGGGGTGCCTCTTGGGGCATCTTCGGGGCCTTCGGGGGCCTTCTTGGCGTCAT